GCACTGCTTGATGGATTGTCAGAGCATTACGGCTGCTGTAGTGAGGAGCTTCATGGAGTAATCTGGGTCCAAAACTCCGTCAGATTCAGCTCCCAAAGTCAAAGGGTTAAAAACTGTCTAAATTCTTTGATCTTTAATTAAATCATCAGCGTTGCTGCTTTACCAGGTGTAACAATTAAGTTTAACATCCAGGCATCCATGAAAACAGTATTTATTAGATTTAATGGAGTTAGAAGTTAGCAGAAAGTTAGCTCGCTAGTTTACACCTAAACATTTCATACCATGTTCTGACTGAGAGATTTTTGAAACTAATTAAAACGTTCAGCTCTGCTATCACTTCCAACATAAATGAAGACAGAAAACTAAACAGCAGTGACGTTTGCAGGGTTACTGAAGTTGGACTACCTGGTATATAATGTTGTGCTACGTGATTGCTAGCGACACAGCTATGTTAGCATAACATTAGCACAGTGAAGCTGGAGGATGAACGCCAACGTTTTTTCCACTCGATAAAAGTTAACATGAGGGATTCTGGTGGTTGGGGACAAATGCAGTCGCATAGCAGGATGCTATACACGGGCCAAACTTCAGTCAGAACAACTGAGATCATTCATCCACAATACGAGGTTAGTTATTAATATACTGCAACAACAGTGGAGGAAGTGCAGTTTTTGGCTTTCCCCATATTTCAAAAGTGCTTCATCTCTTTGCTATGACTGTCGGCATAATTTGCAGATGATAACGGTTGTAGCCGCCAGTGTTGCCAACTCTTCAGTAAGGAAAATCGCTATTGGCTGTCCTATAAGTCACTAGACGCCGACAAATGACGTAATCGCCTAATTTGCATAAGATGTGAACATTTCCTTATCTGACAGCAGCTGGGGGAGGACTATCCTCCGCCTGTGAGCGCTTTGGTACGGGCAAGGTGCCAACCGCAGCACCGCTGCTTGTTGAGAGTAAGAGCGATACATGCTTTCACGTCAAAAAGTCGTCATAAATAAGTCTCCAATAACACCAGAAAAAGTCGCCAGATTTGTCGCTAGTCGCTTTTCAGAAATAAAGTTGCTAAGGCGGTCTGAAAACTCGCTAAATATAGCTACAAAGTCGCTAAGTTGGCAACACCGCTGCCATCATCAACATGCGGTGAAGCGGTATAGTCAAAATCTCTATCGTTGGCCAAATTTATATCGTTTCTATCGCCCACCCCTACTTTCTAGTTTTAATTATTGGAAATCGTTGCATTCTGTGTATTTCCATTTTACACCAACAGCCTTTTATGTCTGTTAGAATGATTTCTGAATAGCATCTGAAACCTCATTTATACTATGATGGGATGTTTTCTAGAATGTTCTAAACTGACAGCTGGTATAAACATTTGTTGAATGAAACAGATCGATTTTGGCTGTAAACAGTAGCACCAATCCAGCCCAGTCTCAGCCTATCAGAATCCAAAGGCCAGCTTAACCAAAATTAAGTCCTGTTTATTTCTTCTATGTAAGCTATAGTCGTGTTCTGCCTTTGATCCTTTTGGATGAATATTTATTGTAGCCCATGTTGTGTATTTTTTGCTTGTTTGTGGGTTTTGTCAGATGTTTGAATTGAAGAGTCAGCTCAGTCCTGTGGGGGCCTCCAGTGCCCCTCTGGCTGTTTTTGACTTTTTTGTCCCATCATGGTCTCGGTGCTGTTTCAGAGGCTTTTCTAAGTCAAGAGGGAAACTCCGAATATGTATCGTTTTTAGCATGAACGTGGCCCTAAATTAAATAAATAATAATGATCTCCTCTCACAGCAATTCAGTACAAAAATATCATCACCTCACTTCAAAGATGTATATAAGTTTAAGCCTGTCTTCACCCTGACGGTCGTCATGGTCCCCTCCTTTATTCCTGTGACTTTTCTAACTGTGCTCGTCCCCTGTGCCCAGAGGGTTGTCCAGGTCTCTGCAATAACAATGGACGATGCACCTTGGAGGCCAGCGGATGGCACTGCATCTGCCAGTCGGGATGGAGAGGGGCGGGGTGCCACGTTGCCATGGAAACACTATGTACCGACAGCAAGGACAACGAAGGAGGTGTGTTTGTGTAGATACACTAAAAGTGTGGAGACAGATGGTTAAATGTATGAACAGATTTGTTTGACGGCTGAATGAACACAGGACGAGGAGAATATTAAATGTTAGCGACACAACAATCCAAACGTCCTCCCACGACTACAAAGAGAGACATTAGGAAGAACAGTGGACAGGTGCTTTAGAAAGTGGTCGGAGATTACTTTGAAAGGCACAGGTGAGTGCGACACCCCCTCAAACCCCCTCCCCACCCACACGCATTAATTTGCAGGGGACCGAGAAAAAATGACACATCAGTTTGTACCATCCAATCACTTCAAGACCTGATAACAACACTGTGTCAGAGTGGGAGAGAGTAAGTACAAAACAGTACTTACTTACTTTGCCTGTGTATGTATGGGTGCTCAAAGTAATGACTGATGATGAATAAATGATGAGGTGGTGGCTGTGCTGCTGCCTGCTGGGCAGACACTCATGTGCTGTGTTCCAGTAAAGTGTAAAGGCTCGGCTGCCTGAACGTCTGAGTGCCTCTAACCTGCACTCTCTCCAGTATTTTTACTTTTTTGTCATTTTTCAAACCTGGTCTCCATTAGTGTTTCGAAAAATGATAAATCAGGATGCGCTTTAAGATGGTTCGACCTTGTGATTGATTAACAAACTTCAGCCTTGCTCTATGCATGCTGCAACTTATTGTGACAGTGCAGTAGAAAGGTGCACCAACACTACTGGGAACTGGATCTTCTGTAGGCATTACATATGTCAGCTAACAGCTGTTTTATCCAGCAACATATGCACTGTGGCAGTGACGCAGCTGGGACTACATTTAATTTGATCACTATGTTAACAGGAAAGATGGAGAGAAATCAGAGGACTGCTTTGTCAGTCAGTGTTTGTTTTTAATGTCCCTGTATGCAGGATGTACACGTGGCTTTTATCAACGATTTTGTTACCTTGCATTCCTCCTTCTGTCTCCTCATCTGACTCCTTACTTGCTCTCCTTATTCCTCCCTTCGACACGTTTAACTCATCTGACCTAATTTGATCTGTCGGTGTGTTTTAATCTGGACACTACAACAATAAAATTGTTAAAGCCAAACCTCTGAGACAGTAAAAGTTTTAAATATTATTCTAGCCTATCAGCTGACAGTATTTGTCTCTCTCTGCACACATGCTGCATTGGCTGCACGGTGGATCAAAACCTGATCGTATTTTCCTGCATTTATAATTCCACCAGCTTTGACGGACATCACTGGCTAAAGTACAGCCTGAAAATGTGGCAGAGCGTCCACTATGTTTCACTGATGGCTGTAGACACTCGCTGTTGCGCGGCTCCTCCTCCGTACGCATGAGGACAGCACTAAAGCTGAGTGATAAAGGAGCCGCTGTCTGCAGAAAAATTGAAAAGCTTTCAGAAGCACTGGAGACCTGCTGGTTAAGACCACTTCAAAAAATTACAAGGAAGTCTGGCTTTTTAGATGCAAACTATAAAGGGCTCCAGGAACCATACCAGAGTTGATAAAATCATCTAAATGCTGCAGATTTTAAACGTACATTAGTGCATTTCCGTCTACTGGTCACTGAAACCTCTGAAAGACTGAACAAATTGTTTAAGTAGCTGTTGCAGCTAATGCTGCCTTTGTTTCCTGTGAACTGAAACATGTTAAGCTGTTCGTTAGATTTCACATAAATCTTTTAAACGACTGTTTTGCCCAACTCTGTGCTAGCTTTGTGACTGTAGGGCTTGTGCATGTTTCAGATGGCTTGGCTGACTGCATGGATCCAGACTGCTGTCTGCAGCCGTCCTGTCAGAATCAGCTGTACTGCAAAGGGTCACCTGACCCAGGCGAGGTGCTCAGCCAGTCTCCATCTTCAGTGCCTCCTCAACAGGTAAGAAGATCCAGTCAGAAATTGACGGCACAAAATGACGACACCTTTCGGCATCAGATTACCCATTTATTTATTTTGCTTTTCTTAGGCTGCCAGATCTTTCTACCAGCGCATTCACTTTCTAGTTGGGCCTGAATCGACTCACATAATCAATGGTGAAAATCCTTTTAATAAAAGGTAATCATGTCTTCTGTCGTGTTTTCTCTTTTCTCTTTCTCTTACGTTTTAGGGATAAAGCAGCAGCATTGGCATGCACATACAGATGTTCATTTCAAGCCATGAAAACACTGATTTGCTGTAAATGACTGTTGCATATTGCAGACATCTTACTGTAAACTGTTTTTTTGATGACATATTTTATGGGTTCAGCTTTGCAGTAACTGGATTCACCCGTCTTCATCATTCCACACACTGTTATTGAGCAGTTACAATAACCATGCACTCCACCTGCACATCGCCAGGGAAAATCACACATTCATATCTCATGCACTGCTCTTTGAAGCACAGTTGAAATGATCTGTAGTCGTAGGTCAAAGTAGGTTTCATGGATGTCCTTGTTTCCTGTGATTGTTTGACTAATATTCTTTAAGCCTGCAGGTCATGGCGTATCCTATTTTTATTTAGCATAATATGAGAAGTGTTAGTTTAGCTTTGCTTTCTGTAGGCATGAAAATAATAAAACATGTTGGCAAAATCCAAATATAGCGCTCAAGGTCTGCTGTTTTCCCTTGCCAAAAGCCATTCCTGCCCACACCGGCCTCAAAGATAGCATTCATTGAGAGTGATAACAGGGAATGACAGGGGCCAGTCTGCATATACAGAGGCTGAAAAGCAGCTCTACTGAGAGGGAAGAAACATGACAGCAATTGTGTTTGGCAATCTTTCTGCTTTTGTCATATTTTTATGATTTACTGAATATTTCATAAGAGGAGAAGGCCTCAACCTGTAATAAAGTGTCCAGTGTTTCCCTAATGGAATGCACCTGCAAACATAAAAGATTATTTTAGACATGAAAACACTGATATACTGTGTGTGTGCGTCTTTTAAGGATAAGGCTTACAGCCACAGAGATAAAACTCGTGTGATTTCTAATAGGTAGAAATGCTCAACATCTAACAAAAGATGACTCAGATGCAGGGCAGGGAATGGTTTCGGACTAAAACTGTAGGAATATAAGGGTCTTCTGGAAGAAAATGTCTTACCTTCCTTCAGGTAAGGAGCAGCTGTGTCTCAGGTGATAGACTGTGCACACATTATGAGGTCAGTGCTTTGATAGCAGGCAAAGCATGGGTAAAGTACTGGAAAATGTCAGGCATCTGACATCATCTGTGGGCTGCAATAATTTTACCTTTAGATGGCAGATGTCACAAGTTGCCAATTAAATTACATGAAAATAACTGTAAGCTGCAGCTCAAACATTTGTGACCTGGTTGCTAGTAAAGCTAATTGTTAGATTACTGCCTGTAGCTTATTGTCATGGTTTTGTATGTGTTATTGTTATTATGTATGTGTATGTATGCACATGTATGTGCTTATTTATGTGGATTTTATGGAGCTTCAAATGATTGTGGGGGAAAAAATTGGGGGTTTAAGATGATTTTGTTTTTTGCAATTTTATTTGCATATATATATGTGTGTGTGTGTGTGTGTGTGTAAAAGCAGCTCTACACAAGAGCAAGTAAAATGGGATGAAAAAACTAAAACACTGAAATCCACACCAATCCAAGCATGTCTGACATGTTTGGGACTTTATAATGATAAGACAGGAAAACAAAACCTGAAACTGGGAACCGACTGGGAATAACAAGTGAAGCAAGGAGCACGGGGATAAGGGGAGGGAACACAGCTGGAATTAATCAGACACAATGAGACAGGGAGAAAACTGAGCACACTGAAGAGGGCGAGAGACTGTGGGAATAAAACAGGATGTCCGATTACCATGGCAACAAAGACCAAGACATGCAGGCTTGACACTTGGACTGGGAAAAAATAGATATGGGAACATGACTGACTGGTGAGAGAGGGAACACTGAACACGGGAACAAGAGACGAGGCTGACAAAACCCGGCAGAGGCATGTGGTTCTTTTTTCCACAATAACCACATAGTAACAGAAACACATAAACACTGATGCAAACGACAACATGTACTGTAAGTACCGTGGTGACATCAGCATTACTCAGAGGTTCCTCCGTTGTCGTTTTTTAAGTTACCCCTCAGTGGACTCTGCAGCTCGATCACAATGAGTAACATTGCAAAGCTAAGGTGAGCTGTAAGTGTTTCCATCTCTTAACCTCCTAGGACGCAGGTGTCGAACTCCAGGCCTCAAGGGCCGGTGTCCTGCAGGCTTTAGACGTGTCCTTGATCCATCACAGCTGATTTAAAGGCTAAATGACCTCCTGAGGTTCTCCAGAGGCCTGGTAATGAACTAATCATTTGATTCAGGTGTGCTGACCCAGGGTGAGATCTAAAACCTGCAGGACACCGGCCCTCAAGGCCTGGAGTTCGACGCCCCTGTCCTAGTACCTGGCGTCCACATATGTGCACATCACATTTTGGGTTATTTAGACCAAAATACTGAATTTTGCTCTACAAGGGCCTGACATCCACTTACGAGGACATTATACTGCTACTGTTCTGTCAAAATTTAAAACAAATATGCTCATATGTGGCTCTCATTTTTCTTAAAAACAAAAATAAGGCAAAAAAAATCTGGTAATTCTTTGTTTTTACATTCATCGGGCCCCAATATGTCCAAATATCAAAGAGAAATGAATGTTCATGCAGTGGAAGAGTTCAGGTCTTAGGAGGTTAAGACAGTTTTCCAGCTCAGCCACAGGGACTCAGGGAAACTTCAGTTCTTGATGGGCTTATTTACATATCATAACTATTTGCCATGAAACATTTTGTAATGTTTTAAGTGAATCTTGCAGGCAGTGTGAGTAAACGAGCTCTCTCTGCTCTCTTCTCTCTTTTTAGCTTGGTGTCGATAATTCGAGGTCAGGTCCTGACAGCCGATGGAACACCTCTGATTGGAGTCAACGTGACATTTGTTCACTATCCTGAGCACGGATACACTATAACACGCAAGGATGGCATGTGTGTACTCATTCATTATTAATATTTTCATACACCTTTTACACAAACATTGTGCCTTTTCCAAAAATGTCTCCTCTCAGCAGTGGTTTAAAACAGATGTTAATCATCGTCTGTTCACTAAATAAACCTGATGAGCAGGGTGGTAAACAGGGAGGTTTCCACCAACAACTAAAATAAAACCATTTTCTTATCAATGATCTGTGTGTGAAACATCCTGAATGTTAAAGTGGATGTAGCTCCATGTAAATGTGAAAATGCCATAAACCTGCATTCTTTCAAATGCCCAGCACGGGGGTATTCTGAGTAACCCCCTCACAATCAGGGGTGCACACCGTGTTTTCACATCCCTTAGCCTAAACCTAACCGTCACCTAATTATAACCCTGACATTAAAAAACACCTTTAATCTTATGGGGACCGGGATTTTGTCCCCATAACAGTGTTGGTCCCCACAAGCATAGTAAACTTCCTATCTTTGGTCCCCACAAAGATACGTAAACAAACACAATGGACAGCAAACAACGGGAGAATGATATCTATATTGTGCTCTTACATTCCCACCTCAGCTCTACTTATTCATTATTAATATTTTCATACACAAACATTGTGCCTTTTCCAAAAATGTCTCCTCTCAGCAGTGGTTTAAAACAGATGTTCTGCATCGTCTGTTCACTAAATAAACTTGATGAGCAGGGTAGTAAACAGGGCTCCTCCATGGAGGTTTCCACCAACAACTAAAATAAAACCATTTTCTTATCAATGATCTGCATGTGTGTGAAACATATCCTGAATGTGAAAGTGGATGTAGCTCCATGTAAATGTGAAAATGCCATAAACCTGCATTCTTTCAAATGCCCAGCAGGGGGAGGGTTCTCCTGAGTAACCCCCTCACAATCAGACACACACACACGCGTGCACACCGTGTTTTCACATCCCTTAACCTAAACCTAACTGTCACCTAATTATAACCCTGACATTAAAAAACACCTTTAACTTGTGGGGACAACATAACAGTGTTGGTCCCCACAAGCATAGTAAACTTCCTATCTTTGGTCCCCACAAAGATACGTAAACAAACACAATGGACAGCGAACAACGGGAGAACGATATCTATATTGTGCTCTTACATTCCCACCTCAGCTCACCCAGCTTCTTTATTCTCACGTGTGAACGTGAGGGGAAGACACTTTTTAAAATGCGCTGGATTCACAGCGACGTAATCAGTCACTGTTGAACACACACACCTGCACACAAACAAACGTGCTCACACACTCCAACTGTAGGTATGTAATGCACACAGTATATAGACACAATATGCACATCAGCACATTCACAGAATTTAATGAGCCAATTACACCGTCACAAATGAAAGTTAAAGAGTCAGGTCTTTGTCCTGCTGAAGTCTGCAAATCCACTCTTATACTCAGTGAATTAAGAGGCTTTCCTTATTAAAGCTTGTATAATTCACACGTCTTGTTTCCCAGCACTTACTGTACACATTTGTTTGACGATGATGTGCTGACAGGTTTGATCTCCTGGCCAATGGCGGGGCATCCCTAACACTGAGCTTTGAGCGTGCTCCCTTCCTCACTCAGTACAGAACTGTCTGGGTGCCGTGGAACGTCTTCTACGTGATGGACACGCTGGTGATGAAGAAGGTGAACGACTGTTGACACTGCACTAAATATGCAGATACTACCTTTGTTTCATTTACTCTTTCTACCACAGATTTATTCGGGTTAAATGAATAATTGAATCACTGCTGTGACTGCTGAGCTCACCTTTGCATATTCAGTGACCGACACATGTCACGTCTGGCTGTTTCAGGAGGAAAATGACATTCCCAGCTGTGACCTGAGTGGTTTCATCAGACCGAGTCCTGTCATTGTTGCTTCTCCTCTGTCTACATTTTACAGAAGCTCACCTGAAGATGGCCCCATCATACCTGAAACACAGGTAATAAATCAATCAGAGGACTTTAATGGGAGCTAAGACACTTTGAGTATGATCTCTCTGTCTGTGAATCATTTTGCAATGTAAAAATAATGTAACACTTTGCGCTAGCTAACTGTGTTATACTTGGCGAACTTAAATCTTTAAGTTGAGCAAATTAAAACATACATATGTGTTTTGAAATTCAATTCAATTCAATTCAATTTTATTTATATAGCGCCAAATCACAACAAAAGTCGCCTCAAGGCGCTTCATAAATTCAATTCTGGATTTAAGCCAATACAGGAGAAATCTGCTCTCTCTTTCTAGTCCCTGTCAGGACTCTTGCTGTAGCATTTTGGATTAACTGAAAGCTTTTCAGGGAGTTTTTTGGAC